TTCTTCCCTAATTATTTTTCCTCCTCAGGTTCACAGCAGTAGCGGAGAGTCTGCAGCAGGTCCGTCAGCACCTGAAGAAGCTGCAGGAGTTGGAGCAGAAGTTCACGTACGAGAGCGACCCCATCACACAGAAGAAAGCTTTACTGGAGGCCCGAGCTCTGGAGCTCCTCAAGAACCTCCTCTCTAAGTGAGCAAGTTATTGATCGCCTTGTTATTGATTATCGATTTGGTATTTGATCTTAAGGCAAAAACCTTAGTAGTAAGGTTAGGGTTCGAATTAAAATGTACCAAGCAATAATGTGTGTGTGTGTGTGTGTGTGTGTGTAGCTCTCTGGTTGTAGAGAGGCAGCCCTGTATGCCCACCCACCCACAGAGACCCCTGGTGTTGAAAACAGGCGTCCAGTTCACCGTGAAGCTGAGGTGAGACACAAAACCACGATCCACATCACAGCGTCTTTTTTAATTCAATTTAAAATTTAAATTTATCCGCAGAATATATCTCTGATTTACATCATACTTCCACTTTTTGTAAACGCCGCTCTTAGAAAATGTCGCTGTCGCAGTCGTTGTGCTGTTCATCTTTTATCTGTTCATCTTGAAATCACTGACGCTGACAGACAGACAGTTCGTCAGAGTTTTTAATTCCACCTGGAGGTTTTCTGTTTTATTTTTGTTTCCTGTTTTGTTGTAAAAAAAAAAAAAAAAAAGTGTCAGTTATCATAAATGTCAAGTACAAACATGTCACCAAACTGACGAAACGGTGACTTCCTGTTTGAGTGGAGTATCTTATGTCTTTGTTCAGGTTCCTGGTGAAGCTGCAGGAGTTTAACTACCAGCTGAAAGTCAAGGCTGTGTTTGATAAGTAAGCTGCTTTCATGTTCACACGGCTTCATTTTCCTGCTTGAACGTGTTGTTGAATAAAATCTCACAGCTGCTTCTTTTCCTCAGGGATGTTACAGAGAAGAAAGGGTACGTGTCAAAACCGGTTACCTCCACTTGAATCAGAAATAACACAAACATATAAAACAATAATATAGAAAACAAATACACGTTCTTCTTCTCACTATAAATGTTGAATAAATCATCGTTAACGAGTCCTGACTGATTGATTGATTGATCAGGTTTCGGAAGTTCAACATCTTGGGAACAAACACCAAAGTCATGAACATGGAGGAGTCGAACGGCAGCTTGGCAGCAGAGTTCAGACATCTGGTAAGAGCTCGGTTTCAATGCCTGTGATTATTTAGGAAACACTAATTTAATTAAAGTTGTTTGTGCTGTGACTGTGATTAGATTTTGGTGGTCAAAGGTCAAAGGTCAAGGTGACCTCACATGACACGATTTTGGCCTTGTGAACGCAATATCTCCAGAACTCCTCAAGGGAATCCCTTCAAATTTGGCACAAATGTTCACTTGGACTTAAGGATGAACGGATTAGATTTTGGTGGTCAAGGGTCAAAGGTCAAGGTCAGTGTGACCTCACACTGAACATTTTTTATCCATTACTCAAGCCTTACAAAATTTCACACAAATATTTAATATTTTATCTGACTCTGGATAAACAGGGATGTAATCTGGAACTAGTCTGAGTGGCGGAGGGATACAGTCCAGTCTAAGTCCAGTTATGTTTCTGAAACTGGAGCCTTTTGTTGAAAGAAAACGTGTGTCTCTAATTGGATGTTTTTCTCCACGCAGCAACTGAAAGAGCAGAAAGTCGCTGGGAACAGAACAAATGAGGTAAGAACCAAAAAATCAAACTATGAAAATGTATATAAGGGCAAAAAGAAAGTTTTATAAATCAATAATGTTGCAGATTATTTCTACTGTCATTAATCATCATAAAAGAAGTTGGATATTTAGTGTGTGTGTGTGTGTTCAGGGCCCTCTGATCGTCACTGAGGAGCTCCACTCGCTCAGCTTCGAGTCTGAGCTGCAGCTCAACCAGTCGGGACTCGAAATCAAACTGGAGGTGAGAGGAAACTCATACAAACACAAACACACACACACACACGACCTCTGAGACCACGTCACAATTATATCAGATTATACAGATGATTCAGTAAAAGGTGAAACTCATTTAATTCACTTGACTAGAGAAGAAATGAAACTGAATTCTTATTTATCGCTGTTGTTGTGGTCGCAGGCCATATCTCTGCCTGTCGTGGTCATCTCTAACGTCTGCCAGCTGCCCAGCGGCTGGGCCTCCATCCTCTGGTACAACATGCTCACCACCGAGCCCAAGGTGAGGACACACACACACAGTCACACACACACACACACAGTCACACACACACAGTTTAAACTAGAGGAGTGGAGCAGGCTCTGAGTCTTCTGTCGTCTCGTCCTCAGAACCTGAAGTTCTTCCTCTCTCCTCCGCTGGCGAAGTGGTCTCAGCTGTCCGAAGTTCTCAGCTGGCAGTTCTCGTCGGTCACCAAGCGAGGCCTGAACCAGGAGCAGCTCAACATGCTGGCCGACAAACTGCTCGGTCAGAAACACGGGGTTTATCTTCACTCTTCACCTTTTTACACTGTGAAATAATAAAGTGTGTGAAGTTTGAATGTTTCTGTGCAGGAGCCAAAGCCCAGAGGAACCCAGAGGGACAAATCCCCTGGACCAAGTTCTGCAAGGTGAGCCACAGTTCGTGACAGATAAACATATATATATATATATTCATTTGGTTTTAAGATGTATAGGTAAATTAATTAGATTAATTAGATGACTTCCTGTGTCTAACCTCTCGTCCAGCAGCAGAGCACCAATGAGAAAGCGTTTCCCTTCTGGTTGTGGATCGAAGGAATCCTGGATCTGATTAAAAGACACCTGCTTCCGCTCTGGAACGACGGGTGAGTACGAGTGGGACTTCTTCCCTCCAGCACGAGTGTGAGCGTTTGATGCGAGTGTGAGATGTTGGGATGAACGCGGCGGATGTGTCTGTGCTGCAGCTCCATCATGGGTTTCATCAGTAAGGAGCGGGAGAAGGCTCTGCTGAGCGACAAGTGTCCGGGAACCTTCCTGCTCAGGTTCAGCGAGAGCAGCCGAGAAGGAGCCATCACCTTCACCTGGATCGAGCACGACGTCCACGGTGAGGCCGTGCCTCCTGTTAGCATGCGTTACTATGGCAACCGTCAGACAACAAGTGTGAAACTTAGAACACATTATTCTGCTGACCCTGTCCACAGCAATTAAACATTTGTCTCCCTGCGCCCAGTCAAGCCGCTCTTCCACTCGGTGGAGCCGTACACGAAGAAGGAGCTGGGCGCCGTCTCTCTGCCCGACATCATCCGCACCTACAAGGTGATGGCCGCTGAAAACATCCCAGAAAACCCGCTCCGCTTCCTCTACCCCAGCATCCCCAAAGACAAGGCCTTCGGGAAGTACTACCCCAAACCTACAGAGAGTAAGAGACACAGACACACACACACACATGTGCGCCGTCTGTTTATCCAGTGACTGTTTACACGCGTTTATACAAAGTGTAATCAAGGTTTGAACTTTGACCTCCAGCTCAGGAGCCGATGGACGTGGAGAACAGCGGGGAGAAGAGCGGCTACATGAAGACAGAGCTCATATCTGTCTCTGAAGTGTAAGAGAGCAGACACACTGTGTGTATGAAGAATGACTTGATGTGTTTCATTAGTGATGGAGTAACATCCTGTTGCTCTGGTCCAGACATCCGTCCAGACTGCAGGACAACATGATGCCCATGTCTCCCGACGACTACAAGGTTCTGGAGCAGTTCGTCGGCCCCAGAGACATCGACGCTGTGGTGAGTACCACACACACACACACACACACACACACACACAGCTGTCCTGCAAAGCTCAGTTACACAAGCTGACATTAAGACTTTTGCCTTGTAAAGTTCTCATTCAAAGGTTTGACTGAGTGCTGCACAGATTCAGAATCAGTGTGTCACTCAGTAAAGACTCTTGTGCAGTATCATCGGGGATATTAGCACATAAAACAACAAAAAACAGACCTTGAATTTTTCCGTATTTTGTAGATTAAAAACAATAAAAACAAAAGAAACCTTCGACACAGAAAGTTGCACACACGTGTTCTGGAGGTGATGTTGAATCTCTCTGATCATGAGTTCTGCTCCAGACTCCAAACGTCTGTAGCTCAAACCGCAGAGTCGCAGAGTGATGACGCACTGAAGACGACGTGAGATCTGGAAGCGTAGACGCTCCTATAGGCTGCAGAGAGTTAAAAAAAAAAAAAAAGTTTCTCTGCTCTGATGTTTGTCTGCGCAGCTTTAAATCTGTCTTTTGTCATCTTGCTCCGCCTTCAGGTTTCTAGCAATCTGATTGGATTTGGAGAGTTTGACGTTCAGGTACAATCTGCTTTGATCTGTGTTGCATGTGTCACATTCACTTCGTCCTCTGTCTTTGCAGCTGCTTCACACGAGACACAGATGTCCTGACTGACCTGTCGTCCTTCTTTTCTTGTCTTCTCAGATGAATTCAGACTTCCCCAACCAAAACTGATGCGTCTTCACCTCCTCTGCAGGGCTACTGTACGTAGACTAAAGCCCTATTTGGACGAGGTGGGGCATCAAACCTTCTGTGAATTAATTCAGTGAGACGTAACATATTGAAAGGATATCAAGTTTCCCCGTTAGCAGTTAAACCCAGTCCACCTGTCACTTTATTTTTGTACATAATTATTTTTAAACTCCCTGATAATCCTTAGTGAAGATTGTGCATGAGACCTTGAAACTTGTATGTTACAAAACAAATGTATAATCTAATGATTATAAACTAATTAGAAATTGAATGTGATGTGATGTTTCTTTGTCATTGACACAGGTGAAGTTTGTTCCCACAAATCCAAAAAACATACAGCCATCTAATAGTTTTTTTCCCCTCTAAAGTTTTATTAAATGTTTTTATCTGTGAATAAATATCTGGACTGCCTGCGACAGCATAAATATACAATGAGAACGCCACCAAACACGTTACATTCAGGATATTTCAGTCGCACAGACACAGGCCACCTCATGTCACCGACAACAGACGAGCTGCAGGTCGAGATCAGTTCATATCAAAAAGAATCAAATCCATATTGCTGATTTCATCTTATTACATTTCTAAAATATTGCAGTTTTGTGCTTCTTTCAGTTCATTTTTAACTTGAATTTAAGTTTTCATCAACGTGAATGAACTGATCCCAACCTGTTTGAAGTTTCAACTAAAACACTCCAAACATCTGCACAATCTCTCACACATTACATTTAAAATAAAATTAAAAAAAACTGCATTATAAACTTTTTACAGACTGAACAAACCATCATCAATCGTGATACATCACAGAGTGCTAAAAGCCTCGATACTGCACTCAAACAAAAGACTTGACTTTATTTTAAACTGACCTGAGTTCAGTGATAGCGCTGCGTTCACTGACTGTCGCGTCAGGTGACTGTCTGCCAGGACACCAGATTAAAACACTCCTTTACATTAGTTTGACAAGCTTGGGCTAAAACTAGTTAAAGTATTGCAGAAATAATGCATTTATTTTCCTGGTTTGTAAATAGACAGTCACCACAGGAATGATATCACTGTAAACACAAGAAGAAATGTAAGAAGAGGCTTCGGGTCGCAACGTAAAAGACTGTAGACAAGCTAATCCTGTTTTTGTGCTGTACTGCTCAGTAATAAAAACAAACAGACTTCTCATGTTGCAGGTGGATCTTTACAGTGAGTCAGCGCTGGCAGTGTCGTCTCCGATATGTAGAAACTTTTAACTCTTTCAATGGTCAACAAACTTTGGCTGACTTACTGACAGGTTACAAAAACAAAATGCAAAATAAATAGTAAATAATACAGAAAAAAAGAGGAAAATAAAAATCCAGTTCTGGGAGAAAAAAAACAAAATGTCTGAATATTTTAAAGTTGAAATCTAAAAGTCGTATTTTAATGTTTTAGTGAAATCTACATCATCGTGAACTTGTTTTGTTTGAGAGCTACAGCTTTACACCTGTACGTATTTACACTAACTCACCTCAGGGATATACACACACTACATGAATGTACAGTTTATCTCAATAGATAAATAAATATCACACACACACACTTAAGTGTTTGGGGGAAGATACATTCCACCAGGTTGTGATGATGAAGTGAGGAAGGTCCAGCATTCAACTGGAGGCTGGTCATTTCCTACAAAGCTACAAAGCTCATGACAAAATAGGGAGAAAAATAAAAAAAAAATATTTCCCCACTTACATGAATATAATACAAAAACCAACAACATCTACTAACACCATGATGAGGAGCTGTTACACTGGAGGGACAGTGTAGTACAGTTTATTATGTGGGTTGTTTTAATCTTCTACGTGTGGTTGTTTATCAGGACTTCCTGTCTGATCTAGGTTCAAAATGTTTTTCCCAAGTGCAAAGTGATGAGTTTTTCACCTCAGAGGACACCGTCACCTCGAGTCTCCTATTAAGAGTTTTCCATCAGAGCAAACCGTCCAGGTTCTTCTCTGCGTTCTGCTTGTCGTCGGTGCTTTCCTGAGGGCTGTACTGGTTGTGGTAATCTCGGAGGATGGTCACCACATCGTGGTGGCCGAAGTGGACGGCCTCGTCCATCGGCGTGTTCCCCCACCTGCAGGAAACACAGAGGGAAGATAAGAAGAGGAGTCCTTTATTAGTCCCGTAGTGGGGAAATGTAATAATATAGTATGTACAGGAACAAAAAAGCAGCAGAAACAGGAGCGTGCTGCCACTGAGGTTAACTAGTAGAGTGACAGTCTGTGGTGTTGGTTTACCTGTCTCTGGGAACTGGGTTGACTTTACAGGCCTCCAGCAGGAAGCGAACCACCTCAGTGTGTCCTATAAAAACACACACACACACACACCAACTCCATGAACACAAACACACTGATTGAACTGACTCGTTAACACATGAATCTTGTTTTCAGTGTTTCACCTTCAGCCGCCGCTACATGCAGGGCCGTCCTGGAGTCGTAGTCCCTCTGCTCCATGTCCATGGAGGACAGAGCAAACCTGGACGAACACGTTAAACATTAGAGTCAGTCAGGGGACGTTTGTTAAGCCTGAGAGGCAGGAAACTCTGGGTCACCATGGTTGAAGCTAACCTGCTAGCTGGCAGGAGCTAACCTGCTAGCTAGCAGTTTCTGCCTCCACCACAAGTAGCTTCTGACACGTCATTTCCTCGTTCATCCACCTATCCCAAGATTCATTGCGCGCCGGTAATGAAAACAAACAACACACCGACGGAGAGCCACTTTTAAATGTAAGTACCTCATTTAGCCCAGTTCATCAGCTGACGGCACAACTGTTAAAACCAAGAGCCTTAAAACCACAACTGTTTTGTATATAAAAAAACTTGCGTGTTGTCAAGGTTGCTTAGCGACGGGCGCCTACGGCACACGGACTGGTCCAAAACGTGTGTTTTGACGTCCCCGTTAAGTCGTTCAAAGTTTGACGTCTTAACGCGGACGTCAAAGGACATGTTTTGGACCAATCCGTGTGCCATATACAGCCCCTGAATTGGGACACATGATCAATGAAGAATCATTTCAGTCAGTTCATTGCATCAATGTGATTGGTCGCGGTGATGAACAACTGTCATATCAGGCTGTAGATGATGTTTCTGAGTGACGATGATGCGTTAAACATAAAAACTGTCCTGAATGTAGATTAAAAGTGAGGTTTAGTCTGAAACTGTATATAAATGTACCACATATATACAAATACAGTCTGATGCTGCTGAGCGAGATTTTTAAATGTAAAGTAGACATCTGAAAATTAAAATAGTTCCTGGGTCAGATTCTGAGGTTACATCAGTCTGATAAATAATGTGTCTCGTGGACGACACTGAATAAAACATAATAGTTTGAACTTATTGACTCTTTCACTGCTGCTTTTTAAAAACTAAATGTGATTTAATGTCACACGTTCATCTTTCCGGCTCCCCTGGATTAAAATGGAGGCTCTGCTCTTTATTTACCCGTTGCCATGGTGAATAGTTGAATCTGAGCTCCATTGCTGATGGCATTTTGCATTCGTCATGGTTATCTCAGATCAGATTGTTTAAGCTGCTTTCTGGAGCAGAGCCCGGGAGGACAAAGGTAACACATGACACTGAATTATGTTTTCATCAGAGACACAGACCTCCTCAGGGCTGAGACGTCTCCTGTGTAGGCAGCAAACAGCAGGTTGATCACTGACTTCACCTGAAACACAACAACAGATTACAGCTCAACATTTACATACATATATTCACGTATATTTATATTTTTCCACTCTAATATATCTGTGTTTTCTTGCCTATGTTCACATTGTATGGAATGAAGGACAAACATTACACACTGGTGGTACAGTCATTGTCCAGCAGGTGGAGCTAGAGACTTAAAGTCCTCCAGGCAAGGTCACACAGCATCAGGACACAGAGGGAGGATGTGACGCAGACTGTCTGAAAAATGTTCTAGTTCCTGTAAAAGTGACGTTATAGACTAAAACTTAACCGTAACCATGAGTGTAGAAGGTGCAGATGTGGAAATAACATGAACATGTTTGTTTTGCTGCTTTAAGGCTTAAAGAGGAGGACGCAGGACTGATGGAGGACTCACCCTCTGGTCTCCTCCTTCCCTGCGAGGATCCAGTTTCTTTGCAAAGTGCCTCAGATTGTCGTAGTTGTGGAAGTTACAGAGAGAAACCAGGTCCTGACAGAAGAAGAGGACATGGTCAGCTCAGTCTCCACTGTTGGAGCTACCTGAGTTCAGCAGTGGTCACATGATGAAACTCAAGCCGAGTTACCGTGCAGAACTGGATGCCTCTGACACTGTTGCCCAGCTTGTCGAGAGGAGGAGACCAACACATGATGCCCATCACGTTTGGAACGACCAGCAGAATCCCACCAGCCACGCCAGATTTCGCCGGCAGGCCGACCTGCAACACAATCACCATGACGACGCGTCACGACCTGATGTTAACGAGAGGATCCGAGTGGCCCGGTGTGAACGAGTTACTCACGTGGAAAGCGAACTGTCCGGAGAAGTCGTACATGCCGCACGAATGCATCAGACTCAGAGTGTTCCGCACCGCCTCGGGGCTCAGCACACGCTCTCCCGTGATTGGACAGAAGCCGCCGTTGGCCAGAGTCGCCGCCATGACGCTGGCGCTCTCACAGGTAACCTCAATGGAGCACAGCTGATGATGAAAGAAAGTTAAGTTTATTATGATAAAACCTTCTCTACAGCTGAAGCAAATAGTATTTTAACAATGAATAATATATTTGAATAAATTCCATGAACTTTTTCTGAGCTGTTTACCTGGAAGTAGAAGTCCAGGATGGAGGTCATGTCTGTCCCCTCCGGAAAACACTGTCAAATGTACAGAGTGACACTTAATGAATATAAGAAACATGTCAAATTCAAACAGTAAAAAGAACTTTTAAAATGGAGTTCACTCTGTCAGTTATGTGGCTTGAGCTGAGAGTAAATAACGTCTCCTCGACTGTAGATGACCTTTGACCTTACCTTCTTCTCCTTCAGGTAGTAGCCGATGGCAAAGTTTCTGTCTCCAGACTCGCGCTCCGACTGGAAACTGGGACACCGACACGTGAATGAGGTTTGTTCAGCTCAGTCATAATACATCAGTTTATCTCTGCGGTGACGTGTGACTTTACTCACGTGGCGTTGCTGAAGCCCACGTACTCGTTTCCCGCCAGTTTGTTCATAAAGTTCATGACCTGCAGATTTTCAAGTATAAATTTAAACTCAAGAAGACAACTAGCAGGCTAAGAGATGGTAAAAATAATCTAATATCACTCACATAGTCAAATTTCTCGGCGTTGCTTGCCCCTTGCTGAAACACAAAAATGATTATTAATCAAACAACACGTCGGTCCAAACACATCAAACTGCCACTGACACTAAACGTTACCCACGTCATGACATTAGCACTATTATACATGATCCATATCTCTATGATATTAAACTACATGACTACAGTTGTAAAATTCATCAGTAATGTGACCAATCAAACCAGATGAATTAAGATTAGGAGTGGGAGACTAGCTGGAGATGGAGGAGGTGAAATAAAACAGTTAATCCACTCAGTGTTTCTGGTTTCGTAAAAAGAAAAAGAAATTCAATGAACGGGATCAAAGGATAGTAAAAATAGTTTTTAATCTTCAAAATAAAAGGATATATATATAAGACTAGGAATATAGCCATGTAGCTTTCAGTGTGTAGTAGTAGTAAATACAAACAGATCAGTTTTAGTCTCGTATCTAAAGTAGAAATTATAATAAAAAACGAAAGACAAAACTAAACAAAGAGGTCCGTCTCTACAGAAGAATGGAGAATGACATAAAACCAGTGTTTGAGCTGAGCCAGAGCTGCACTGTTTATAATCCAGACGTATAAACAGGAGAATGCAGGTGAAAAGTACAGAAGCAACACTGAAACATTCATTAACAGCCATGTGAAGGCTAAAAGCTTTGTCACAAATCCAGACCAAAAGAGGGGAAGAAATGATTAAAAAGGAAAATTACCAACGTCATTGACCTGTTGCTGTGGTCATAATTTCCCAAAGATCCTAATGCTGTAAAATATGCAACAACACATAAAACCACACAACGAGCCTTGAAAAGGTACATTGCAAATGAGTGTAGATCTAGAGTCAGAGAGAGGAGGAGGGACGCATGCAAACAGCCCCTCATAGAACCTGGTTTTATTCTGGGGATCAATGACAGATTCAAGCTTCAGCTACACAAATCTCAACAGTGACTGGTTGGGATTCAGGAGATTTCTTTCACATTGTATGGGAATAATCAATCACATAGTTAGTTTCTGTTTTTATGTAAAAATACCTAAAAAAACAACTGAGGTCAAACTAGTAATTATCATCTACATGTTCTGATTGTAGCGTCGATCCCATACAATGTGACTGCAACACAAGATCCTGGATGATTCCTCTCCTCATCCAAAAACAAAGAAATACAACATGTGTACAGATCAGCTTCCAGTGTTTCGGTTCAATCATAATAATTCCTATCTAACAGCTTCTTCTTCAAGATGTTGCAGCTGAACATTAGAGAAAGAGAAACTAGTGCATGTTGGGGTATCTGACGTCTTGAGGAGACAGACTCTCACTGTATGAATGTGATATTGTAATTAAAGTCTGACGCCCTTGTGGCCTCCTGTTGCTCCTCACCGGCCACTTGAGATACTGAGGTTTAGATTTTAATTTGAGTCTTAATCAGCAGGTGGTGCTCTTATGTCTCTAACAGAACAGTTTCCCTGATTAAAGCTGGTGATGTGTCTGAGCTCTGTCTCCGCCCACTCTGTAGACTGCAGGATATCCGCACGATGCTGCTTTCTAAACTAAATCCCCTTTCAGCGTGATTATCTATAACCTTAATCTCCTGGGAACACATAGACGATTATAATTTTATTTCAGACAAATTCTCTTTGTTGGACTTTCTAGCTGCAGTAAGCATAAAAATAAAACCCCTCAATCTACTTTTTAAAGATAGTCTTGTATTCAAAGTAAATGTACTCCTTACCTTAATGAGGGAGGTGCAGACGATAGCACCGGCATTAACCATGGGGTTGTGAGGTTTATCTGCAAGAGAGAGGGACACATTACTTCCCCCTTATTCAGCTAATTTGTTGTCTTTGCTGTTTCAGAGTGAGTGAACATCAACGACACACAGAGTGAACAGAGAGACGAGACTGTGGTGAGTAGACTCTACTTCTCTACTCCTTTACTCCTCTCCCTACTCTTACGTCACTAGCTGTTTTTTTATTAAAGCCTTTCAGTTTTTCCTTTGAACACATTTACTTACAGTATGGTAGTACCACCTCCACCACTTCTATGCCTTAGAATACTGTCCTAAAACATCATAGTATAATATGTCATAGTAATATCTCTGTAATTCTGTTTTATTTGTACAGACATCAGTACATGAGGTTAAGACTTGACAATATCATAGAGAGAAACCGACAGTTTGGTTTGAATGAGGAGCGGGGGTGCGGTCGGGTACGGAGCGACTGATTCCTCACCGTCTTCATTCAGGAAGAGCTTGTTGAATCGCAGGCCGCTGGGCTCTTTGCCAATAAAGCGGTGAACATACTCGGTGCCGTGGTCGTGAACAGCAATAGCGTATTTCAGAGGCTTGACACACGACTGCAGACAGAAGGGAACCTTGGTGTCACCGACAGTGTGCCTAAGAAAGAGGAGACAAACTCCAGCTCAGTCATGTGGCTGGTGGCATCAATGGTCATTCAGTCATTCACAGTTATAAAGGCTGTCCCCGCTGTTACTGTCCAGCCAACAAACAAAAGCAACTTGGCATGAATCAACTCTGAAAGTGTACCTCTGTCCATCGACGGTGCACAGGGCGACAGCCCACAGATCTGGACTGAAGCGGGCCAGCTGGGGAATGTAGTCTGCCACCTGCAGTGTTGCACAACAACTTTAAGTTTTAAAACTGCTTTTACTGGTTAATATGGTAAATGGAAAGACAAGACAATAATCTGTCTCTGCAGATTATTAGACTTCTGAGGCAGCTCTCCCTCACCTGCCCTCCGGACATATTCTTGGCGTTTTCATAGAGCTCGTCGATGTGGGCGCAGAAGGGCTGGAAATCTGGGATGACAAACTTCTTCCTGAAGGCCTGGGTGAGCAGAACAATGTTGCTCTGGACACATCTAAGACAGGAGACGAGACAGCGTCCAGTCAGTCTATAAGCAGGTATTTCCAGTAGACAATTTTCTTGCCCTTAATGTCATTAACTTTCTTAATATTAATATTAACTGGATTTTATTTGTGTAGTTAACTTTTGGACAGGAACCATCAGGTCCTTCGTCAGGCCTGACAAAGCTTCATGTTGTACACTCTGCCACAGGGAGACATCTGCTGCTGGACTTAAATATCATGTAATGAGTTGTGTTGTCTTTTGGGGAACTGTTTGTTTTTCTGGTTCATTGCCTCCAGTTCCTGAACGAGCCGTCAGCTGTTGATGTAGTTTTTGGAAATGATTGTTCCTGCCTCCAGACTCTGTCCTGATCTTTTCTATTTGAGAGATTAAGACCACAGATAGTGAACCCACCACTCCATATAATAAGGTGGTGAGGTGGGAGCTGTGCCTCTCTGGCAGCAGAGAGATTTGTGGCTCAGCTATCTCACTGCATCAAACCCTGTCTAATCCCTGTAGCATGGGATCCCTGCAGAGAAAACACACGCTACTCTACACCGCCCGCTCACACGCTCCCCCTCCCTCTGTGAGGCGGAGCTCTATAAATAAGCCCAGCGAGCGGATGTGATGGATTCCAGCCAGGAGCGCCGGTGCTGGGGTCTGTGAGGATTCAGCTCCCTGGTGAGCCGTCATATGCCCCGACTCGCCACACCGCCACTTCCCAAGCCGTCACCCAGCATCGTTTCCTCTGGGAGGGGGGGGGGGGCGTGAATGTGATTTTATTTTCCAGCTGTGTTCTTTGATTAATCGTTTCACTTATTTTTGAACAAAACATGACACACATCGCTTCTCAGATTTATCAATTATATCGACTCCTCTCGATTGACTTTTTCAGTTTCATACTCCCTGACTCCCGTCTTCGTTTCTGTCTTTAATAAATGACAAGGCGGTTTTTGTGGATTTGTCGAGAACACCTACACCTTCTTGGTTTTTGACTCATGTTTCATGTCACAATTAAAATGCTTTTTTTTTCTTTTTTTTTTAAAACCACAATTTACTCTCAATATAATGACTTGACCTTTGATGTAGGTCATTGAAAGGTCATTCTGTGATACCACCTCTTTTAGCTCTGAATGATTGTCACTCTTCAATACAGATCCATATTGTATGTTTTTGTCCTCATTTTGAAACCAACATTTTATTCATGCCTTCTGATTCATGCCCTTCACACTCCTTTAATAATGTTTTCACACTGAAATGCTTCCTGGAGATAAACTGATTCATTTCTATAGTTCAACCAAGTGTTCTGTTTTCCCCTGTAGTCGTGTTCTTGAATGCATCCAGCTGGATGACGTGCAAACTGAGAGCTGATGAATAATTAATGACATGCAGCAGAACAGTGCAGAGGACTTTGACCAGCATTAATAATTCTGAATGTGATGAAAGATTGATGCTGATAATAAAGGTGGAACAGGAGGCAGGACATTAAAGTGACAATAACTAAAGGTATGCAGAGTCACTCTACCTGTCCGACAACTTCCTCACAACCACTGAATTTACACTCAATAATCTGGAAGATCATGTTCTCCAATAAAGCTGCAATAAAAAAAAATTTAAAAAAAGGAAATCTACTTTTTGAAGAGGTGCCGGTCCAGCGCTCCGTCAGAGGTCGTCTTCAAGGTCACCTTCAGCATCTCCATACATTCTTTCAGCCGGGGGTCTCCTGTGCGAAGCCCAGTGGCTTTAAGAGCCTGAGGAGAGGGGGGGGGGGGCATGATGATTAAGAGAGACCTGACAACAAACCAATAAGCTGAGACTCCTGAACAAGCTAACAAGAGGAGTTACCCATAATTCAACCAGGGAGGGATCTGTACAGGGCCCAGGCTGCTGGCAGTTTATCAACATAAGCAGCTTTTTACGTCTTGCAGAAACAAATCATTTGCAGTGGAATTTCTCACAAGTCGCTGGTGCACTGCAGGGAGTTCACCTCTCGTCTTTAATGCAGATAATCTGGCTGGTGTTTGTTATGATTTATCCCCAGTTAGCTCTTAATAAATGTCCTACATTTCTGTAAACTTTCACAACTTTTACTGTCTAAACTTTGCATAGCTATGTGCGTATACATTCATAAAACTTCTGTTTATACGTTAAAGTCGTTTCCTCTCATCTGTTCAGGATATTGTGTTATTATTATTATTATTATTATTATTATTATTATTATTATTATAGCAGCTGTTCCAGTGTCAGTCTCTGGAAGTTGTGAATGCGTCAGACATAACTCACTGTGGTGAATTTGTGTGCAGGGATTTTCTCTTGGCCCTCTGCGATGGTGTAGAAGAGCAGGTCCTCCAGACTGGGCAGGATGCCTGCCTTCCTTCTCCTGCAGGAAAGACAAATAAAAACACACAGACAGAAAAGTGAGAAAAATAAGTCCTCAGTGAGGCGGGCAGAGGTACAGACATGGAGGGGGACTGCAGCAGAGGGGAGGAGAAAAAGCTTTTTGACTGCAAGGAGAAGCAGTGAGTAATAACTGTAATACTGCACTGGAAAACATTACCTTACACTGGCCTCACTGCAGTATCATAACCTGTGGAAAAGACTCGCACAGTACAACCTAACGCCAGAGACACGGCTGCTCTGTAAGACTGACAGTCAGTTTCAGATGCTATTAACTTTTCCAGAGGTTAATATGCTGCCATAAGGCCACTGTAATGTAAACTGTTAATTGTCTGCTTTAGTAGAATACCAGCCAGGAATATGTTTTTTACACGTGTCATTGAACTCTGAACCCAGCATGAGAGGACAGAGCGTCAGGACAGCATCAGAACACACAGACCAGAACAGCAGCAAATATTTCATGATGAACAGCAGCGTCAGAAAGTGAAATGACGCAGCCTTAAAGGCATCTTCATTCAGGCGATGTGAGGTTGCAGTGTCAGAACGATTCAGCCGAATAAAAGAGCACAGTCTGTGAATTGTGATGACTGGGCCTCAGCTGCTGCAGCTGTGACGTGGAGGCTTGCCAACACCCGGGGCACGTTGACGGCATGTTGTTCAGTGGCTGGGAAACAACCACCAGCCTCCTACTGAAATACAATACAGTCTGCAATGTGGCTGCTGAAACATCCAGCAATCAGACTTCGAGGAACTTCAGACGTCTACAGTTTCACAGCTGAAGGATTGACAGATCTGATTTAGGTTCATGCATCGTTTAGCTGAGAAGCAGCTGATTCCAGCCCCTGATGTAAATGTCTCAGCAGTGATATTACCGCTGTAATCCTGTAATCTGCTGCTGCCTTAATTAGTAAACTTCATGATGAACTTTATTATTATCTAGTATTATGGTCTGGCTGGTATTCTAAGCAGTTTCCACACCGAGTCGTCTCTGGGAGGAAAGTTAGTAGCGTGTCAGGAGGCAGACGGGGCGACCGGCTCACAGCAGGCTCTCTGCTATGATTCATATCAACACCAAATTGGATTTGTGCAAAGCTCTGGGTGCCCGGGCTCACAATGTCCCGCAATGCATCATGGGCCACTGGCCTGCGTGCTAGTGGAGGATGTCTGTAGGTAAAGCTTTAGCTGGCAGGTGGCTCCTCTCAGCAGCCAACCAGAAATAAATCTGATTTGGACCCTTGGAGACATGAGAAATCTACCAGAGTGTAATCTCACACTCAGCACTCACAGGGTTTCCTCTGGTTTGACTCAGCAGCAGTCACAGAAAATGGGACATTAATACAACTACAGAACAACTGTAATGAGCCAGATTTGCAAAAGGGAAGTCTCAAATGACGAACAGGAATCAATTTTAAACTGTTTCCTTGTGTAATTTGGATAAAACAACAAAAGAGTTCGACAGAGATGTGTCAGTGCTAGAATTGAGATTCACCTACATCAAAAACAGCTGAGGCTGTAGTTATAAATCTCATGGTAAACAAACTGGTGGAAACAGAGATGAAGGTTGTACATTGTTCCTGAGCTCCACTGCTGCAGAGGAAACCCCGGCACCAGAGTCAGAGCTCGTTACTGTAGCTAACAGATTTCTAGCACAGTTCCACTTAATGTCTGAAGTCAGAAATTCTGAGCAAGAAGATCAGAACTGCAGTTATGTTGCTCTCCAAACACCAGGAAACAAACATGGCTGCAAAAAACTATCAGTCAATTATTGGTGATAGCTGAGAATTAGAGAAGAATCATGTCTCATATTTTGAAATTCTTTTGAACTCCTGACCTGAGGAACGCAGCTTTAACACTAAAAACAATTCTCATGCTAACTGAATTAGCATGTTGTCGAGTCCTTAGATTGATTGTTTGTGCGGTCCATCTCTGACCTCGTTAACAGACATTTGATGCCTGCCGGTGGAGACACGTCGGAGAGAGAGAGAGTGTGTGTGTGTGTGTGTGTGTGTGTGTGTGGGGGGGTGGGGTGAAGAGACAGACCAGGGTGAGGTAGAAGGTAGAGGGGAGAGGATTCAAGCACAGCCGTTGGGAGGAAGTGAGGTCATTTCAAGGTAAAAGCGGTTGTCGGCTTTCTGCAGAAAACCTCTACTTCTACTGGAGAATGGATCAAAAACATAAAAGACTAAAACTAAAAGAAAAAATAGAAACATACTTACAAATGTAAAGCAAGCAGATCAACAACAGGGAGAGAGTGTGCAGAGGGAATAATACTGAATTAGTCACAGTGGCAATGGCACACATACATATAATGTGTCAAAAAGCAAAATGTACACAGATTATTCAGTGAGTGGTGGTATAATAACTGGTATAATTCATAGCTGCTGTCACAACAACAAATTAATTAAAAAACATGAAACGCATGAATAAAACCTGACAAAATCACAACAAATCATAATAAGCAGTTACACTTTGCAGTAATGAAGGTTTAAACAAACAGTGGTGTGTTAAGTAGGCCTGTGTCTAAAAATAAACATGGCTTATAATAATTATTCCAAGCTGCAGCAACATTAAAACGAAGGAAAACCTGGAGACGGCTGATTTAAGAGGCTGTAAGTCACAGCCTTGTTAAGTTAATGTGGCCTGTGAGAGATTTCACCTCTGGGAGTATCATCACCAGCAGGTTAGAGGTGGGCACTGGAACATCTGGACCGGCCTGGATCGCCTCATTAATCTACCTCAGCTGCTCTCATTAGCGCTGGAGCTAGCTCTGTCTGTCCCTCTCTCTCTGTGTGTTTTTAAAGGTCAGCTGATGATTCAACACAGTTTGTCCAGAAGGTGAAACCAAACCAACACTGCACTGCAGACCCACTTTGAATCAAGCTGCAAATTTTTTGTCATTTTTTAAATTTTATATTTCCCTGGTTAGTTTTTTTTAAAAATTAAAATCTTACAAATCTCCCACTGTCTGTGAACTGAGCGTGAGACAGCGTATAAAGCTTCAACCAATTAATGAAAACATGTATGTATACTCTTCTCCTGTTCTGTCCAATCAGCAGGTCAGTAGTGCTGAAGGTATTTCTGACGTCAGTTCTCTCGGTGAAGACACACTGGAACCAGCAGCTGTCTGTTCAGCCCCAGTATAGCTGCAGCTGACAGGACAGCTGGTCCTGAGGACAGTGACAGCTGATGACGTCCAGCTCGGTTGGAAAGTTTTATACAAACAACCAAGTATCTGTTTCTAGAGATAAAACGATTGGACTGAGGGAAGATGTCTCTAAACGAAATAAGTAAAAATACAGATTTTCAGTCAAACTTAAGTTCCTGTCTCACTTTCATTAGGTCGAGAAAATACTTTCAAACAGTAATTATGTTTAAATAATGCAAAACAAAGCTTTCAAATCCAATCCCATTAAGTTAAATGAGCAATGACAGGAAATTACAGATGCAGAGTAAAGATCAAGATAATAATGATGATTTGAAGTCTTTCCACTCAGCCCACTACAGATGATGGGATTTCATTTAATTGATACATCAAAGTCGCAGACAGAGATGCTCGTATCGACAAGTCGAGTGTTGGTCTGAGCCGATCGATGGCGCTGGTTTCACTGCCTCACAGATGTCATGACAAATTGGTGTGGGGTGGAGGCAGACATGAGACTGGGAGCGCTGAGAGGCGGCGCTGCACAAATCAATCTGTGTGAGTGACTCATCTGCTCCTTTAGGCTCTGACAACTGCTGGGCAGCGCGCCAGCACGCAGGCTTTGGTGCAAAAAACCATGGAAAAATGATGTGGGCGGGATAAGCTCCACTGCATTACTAACATTTTTAACCCCTTATTAGCCGGGCCACAGCCTCAGGACCCTCATACCCAGACTGGAGTGGAGGCTGAACGCTGTCTGGACCTCTGAGAATTCAAACCCCCAGATTTAATCACTGACCTCTAACCCTGGTTATTTGCTCTGTCTGGCACTAAAACCTGGTGATGATGTCATTTCCTGTTTGAACACAGCCAACGCTGTGATGACGGCGTGACCAGCACTACAGGATTTGATAATCTGATTTACAGTGAGTTCTCATTATATAGTAAAAATGATTATTGTGACAAAGTATTTGTTCATTTTATTTAGTTTTTTCATGCTTCACTTGTATGTGGGGAAATGTTCATGATGTGAATATTCTAGTTACTTAAAGTTAATTATCTACACGTTATTGTTCGTCAGCTGCAATAAAGTTTATCTGTCTTGTCTTTAGGGCTGCAGGTAACAATTATTTCCATTATTGATTAATCTGCCACTTATTTTCTTAATCAATCAACAACAGAAAGCTCCAGAGAAACCAAGGCGATGTCTTCAAATTACTTGTTTTGTCCAATCGATTATTATTATTGATTAATTGTTGGTTGGTGGACTAATTGGATGGAAAATGGTTGATTTTCTGCCGAGTAAATGCCTAATGTTTAAACTGCCTTTTTTCTTGGATTCATTGTGTCACAACTCTTTAATAATCACAGATCCACAGATTCAGATGACTCAGCGCCTGTTGAAGCTGCTTTCCAACAACTGATAATGGAAAGCTAATGTGCTCCTCAACAGCACTCCACACTGAACCTGCTCACTCACTGAGATTCCTCCTGTAATTCAGCTCCAGCTGAATCTGAATGTTGATGATTATATTGGTTTGATCGTATTTAACAGAACAAGCTGAAGCTGCATCTTGTCTCCAGGGGAAACAAGATGTTGATGAAAACCAGTCAGCAAATGACTGCCTGAACCCGGCCGACAACTTAAGCAAATTGTCCGTGAACAGAAACAAATGGGGCAACTTCAGTCTGCGGGGGCAATGAGGCGGGATACAGGCTGGTGCTAAACTATTATGTAGGAACCATATATCTGGGAAAAATTAGCATCTTTATTTGCACTTGTAAGATGAATACACATGATTCTGTTTAATGCAATGCCAACTGCTGCACTGCCTTTATCTCTGTCCATAAACACTGTCACGACTGTTACAGCAAAGCTTCGACAGTTCAGCTTGTCAGGATGAGTTACTGTCTACAAAGCAGGATTCCCTTACTCTGATTCTCTGTGCTTCAACAGCTAAAGTTAACACTAACATATCACCAAACGCTGTCTAAAACATTGACAATAATCTACTTATTAAATGTCAGATATCCACTGCAGTCAGAGGAGGAAGCAGATTCCTCAGTCAACACTCCAGTGTTTGCAGAGGGAAACAGGAAGCACCAATTCATATTTCAGGCAGATTTACATCTCATTAAAATAACAGATGCAGCAGACGCCAAGCTGCTGGAATACGGATGCAGCAACACGCCAACCAAGCCAAGATACTTGGGGTTTTCATCACTAACAGCATCAACTGAACAAACATTCCCCACGCTGGTCCAAAGTGGATCACTGCCATAACTGATGTCAGGGGGTTTAAGGTGGAGGCAGTTGAACAGGGAGGCCTTGTCAACCTGTGGTGGTGTCATGGTGCTTCTGGTCATTAAATGCTCTTAACCTGCATCTCATCCTCACTCCTCCACCAGCGCTCACTCATCTCCCCTGTTGATCAATCACCTCAGCCATCCACCTAATTATAGCCTCATAATGTCACTTGCATCTTCATAAAGCTGTGTCATTATTTCTAGTCATATTTTACATATATTATGGACAACATAATCAATGATCAATTTATAAAAATCAATGACAAAAATATGTTAGCTGCATTCCTGGATGCAACAGTGACTGACCTTCATTAGACATTGCCTTTAGGTCATTGCTTGGTCTGTCACTAGCTAAAGCTAAAGAGATGCAGATTCTGTTTGTTATGGGTCTGTTGGGATTTTCACAGCTTCACGCCTCAGTGGTTTAACATGCTGGAGATGGCAGCTGCAGCTCCTGGTGGTCACGATTATCTGCCTGGCTGTGTAAGATAAGCGTCCATTTTCACGTGAGGTGATTAATTTAATTTCATCCACCACGCAATTCGACCTTAAGACCTTTTATCTCACAAAGTAGTAAATGATATCCCAATATGGGGTTTTAATATTTAGTGACAGTGGCTACATTTGGTCTGGACTAGCATGTTTGTCCGATAATGGATCTTTGTCTGCCTGTACAGCTACTTAGCAATCATGCTGATTACCGGTATGCACGCAGCTGGTCTTTCACCACCTTGACCAGCCTAGTTACCCGGTAAACACTACAACTACAGCCTCCACTAGCCATTAGCTGGCTAGCTAGTCAGTTAATTGCAGGTCAACAGCATCTGCGATAGCAGCTAGTGGCGTCACGCGCCTGTAGACCTTCGATGCTGAATTACATTCTTAATATCACAAATTAAAATCAGCATAGCCTGTAACTGTAAGACAAACAACACAAATTAAGACATTTTATGATAAAAGGTAATGTTAGCAGCCAGTCATTAATTCGGCATCTGTTTTGTTTGTAAATACTGACATATTATGATAAAAAAAATAAACTTTAAGGAATGGTTTCCCAGGCGTCATCGTCGTCTTCTGTGTTAAATTGCTGTATAAAATTGTCGTTTTTTTCTATGGAGTTCGGCCTACCGTGGAGCTAGCGGCTAACATCTGCCAACAGACCGGGGCTAAGGTTACTCACTTCTCCGCTGCAGAGTCCTTGGAGGCTTCATTGTGGCCGTCGTTGTGGCCGTCGTTGTGGCCCTTGGAGCAAAAGCCTCTCACGCCGTGCTTTCTGGTGAAGTGCTGCGGGGCTTGAGCTCTCCACCCGGCAAATGCCCTCCCTCTGCCCGGTGACCAGCCATTCGAAGTGACGGTACTCAAGCAGGCAGCGGTCGCAGGTGCGGCTTTCACACCGACTCTACCTGTCAACGGACGCTTGAGCTGGGTTTGAAATAACTCCTTGAGCGCTACCGTTGACCGAAAATGTAACATTTCAATCCCGTCGAGAGGACTGTGTGGATGGAGTAACTACCGTAAAACCAAGTGAAGAAATCTGGAGAATAAAACAGTCGTGTTTCCTATGACAGTGTCGGCTTCCTCGGTCGAGTAACGGTTTTCCTCAGTGGGATACAACCTACCTTTAATACCGCCTGAGATCTGATTGGAGCGTGATAATTCATGTCTGCACCTGATTGGTCAGAAGGGCTGTCAATCATCAGAACTGTCGGGGTAGTGTTTTGGACCGTAGTGTTATCTCCATCATTCCTCAACATTTTAAAGCGATTTTGAACATAATTCACTCTTTTAATGTTTTTAAATACATAATTTCCTATTTGAAAAGCAGAACCAGGAAGTAACGATGCTATATCAGACTTTATAAAGAAAGAAAACACAACAAATTATATGAAATATATGGGATTGGGGAGGGATGACATAGGATATTAATTATTTATATTGCACTAATACCATCAACCAAAAGTTGAATCGTGCAGTATTGAATGAGG